GTTGTTGAAAAGTATGTTAAAATAAAGATCTCACAATTTACTAATTTTTCCTTCACTTCGAATATCTGAAAAAGAAAAAGAAACAAATGAGAGTGACAGAGAGAGTTTATTTTTATTTCTTTTTTTATATTGTTTTTCAAAGTTTAATTTTCTTTTCAAGCACTGCTGATTAATTTTCAAATCTAAGAATGATGAATGAGAAGCAACTACAGAGTTCGGTGAACGGAGCGAGCAAAGGATGGAATCCCCTAGTTATTAAAATTATACAAAAGCTTTAGTGCAAAACTTTGAAACCAACTTGCTTTATTTTCAATTTGATGAAAAAATTTACATAGTTGTTGAACAGCTGTTGTCTGTATTTATCAGCGTGAATATGTCTTTTGATGGCTCTGTCATCAAAGCTATTATTTTTCTGAAAACAAAGAATAAAATTATAAAACAGTGTTAAAAAAGTACAGAAAATTTATTAAAAAAAGGTCAATATTCTCAGAACTTTCAAGGTAATAAATGTATTATTTAAGNAAAAAAAAAAAAAAAAAAAAAAAAAAAAAAAAAAAAAAAAAAAAAAAAAAAAAAAAAAAAAAAAAAAAAAAAAAAAAAAAAAAAAAAAAAAAAAAACAACTCGATAAATTCAAAATGAAAGTGAAAAGAAAACTATAGCTGAAAAAAAATCTATCGATGAAAGCGAAATAGAAAAATTAAATTATAGTAAATAGAGGCAATTTTAAAAATAATTCAATTAAGCAAATTAGCAATTAACTCATACATATTTGATGCAATTTCTATTAGTTTTAAAACCGATAAGTTTCATTCTTGATTAGTTAATTTTTTTCCCTTCTCTTATTTGATTTGGGGGAAAATTTCAAGGGGAGTTTTTTCAACTCTGCTGACTAAACATTTTTAATTATAGTGTAGAATCTTTTTTCACTGTGCAAAAAATATTTGCTTTGTTTAAACTTTGACAAATAATACTTCTTTTAAATTCAAAATGTCTGCTAGCGTTTACTTTAATGTGACAAAAATAGTGCTTGCTTAAATAAATAAAAAAAAAGACACTGATGGCAATTAGTAATCAAAGTAGACACTGATTTCATGAGTCATATTCAGAAAAAAAAAATAAAAGTAAAAAAAAAACAAAAGCTAATATTTTTTAAGTGTGCAGGAGACTTAAAAATGTATTTAGGTTTTTTTTTTATCGCCAACTTAAAAAAAACACGCCATGCATTGTCATTCTTTTTTCTATCAATTAATGCCTTTTAAGCAAATATTATAACGTCTATTGTTTCCCTTTTTTTGATTTAAAGTTCTCAGATTTGTATCTTTTTGGAGCCTGCTTTGTATTCTTTTTAACAAAATTATTCTACATATGGTTTTATAAAATATTTCTCTCCTCTTATCATCATTTTAAAATTTAAATAAACTGTGTTTAAAATTTCAAAAAAGTCTAGTAAAACATTAAGCACAATTATTTACATAATACAGATGAAACACATATGATGATGTTTTTGACACTTACTAGGCTTATAAAATGAAACATTTTCACAATTTTTTGAGTAATTTAAGTAAAAAACTTTTACAGAATAATTTTTTCTGTATTAGAAGATTAGATTATGTTTCTTTATTTAGTTTTAAAGCTCTCTGATTCGTATCTTTTTGGGAGCTGAATTCGTGTTCTTTAATAACGAAGCATAATATTTTTTTTATTATGTATATCATAATATTTCCGAAGCATAAGCTTCTTTTATATATAAGAGGGTCCACATTTTAAATCTCAATTTAACAGTAACAGCAATAATTTAATAGTATGTTGAAATAACGATGAAAAGTTGTTGAAAAGTATGTTAAAATAAAGATCTCACAATTTACTAATTTTTCCTTCACTTCGAATATCTGAAAAAGAAAAAGAAACAAATGAGAGTGACAGAGAGAGTTTATTTTTATTTCTTTTTTTATATTGTTTTTCAAAGTTTAATTTTCTTTTCAAGCACTGCTGATTAATTTTCAAATCTAAGAATGATGAATGAGAAGCAACTACAGAGTTCGGTGAACGGAGCGAGCAAAGGATGGAATCCCCTAGTTATTAAAATTATACAAAAGCTTTAGTGCAAAACTTTGAAACCAACTTGCTTTATTTTCAATTTGATGAAAAAATTTACATAGTTGTTGAACAGCTGTTGTCTGTATTTATCAGCGTGAATATGTCTTTTGATGGCTCTGTCATCAAAGCTATTATTTTTCTGAAAACAAAGAATAAAATTATAAAACAGTGTTAAAAAAGTACAGAAAATTTATTAAAAAAAGGTCAATATTCTCAGAACTTTCAAGGTAATAAATGTATTATTTAAGATATTGATGAATGTATTTAATGCTAACTCATTACTAGCCGTCTTTGGTGACCATCTTGGTCACCTTTTAAAATTAAGTTGCACAACAAATAAGCTTTAATGGTAATCCAGCCGAAAGCACAGCGCAACTGTATTTGAATATTCAACCCCTCCTCCCATCTTTCATTAAATTATTCCAATCATTATTGTCCTCCAATCTTTCTTTCAAACAATCATTTCAATTAGTTTTAAACATTATATTAAGCAAAATTTTTCACCGTCTATCAGTTATCAGTGGCTTTGTCGAAACGAAACTATTTATTTCGATTAGATGTCTGCGATATTATCAAAGCTCTTTATGCACTGAATTTCAGTAATAATTTAAAATTTGACCGGCAACCTTTAAATCTCACGAACAACCGTAGGTATGAGTTCATGACATTTCAGCATTTTAGGCTGAAGATAGAATAGACATTTCACATTGAAAAATCATCCCAATGCTTCATTACGCACTGTACTGCTTTCTCACCCACTTCTCTATTCATAACATGAAGCATGGTNTTATGAATCCAGAAAAAATATATATATGCTGTTGATTAAAAGAGGCTATCTTCGTCACCAATGATTGGTGTATGACTCCATAGCAATGCTTATGTTTCAAATTTTTACAGTCATTTTAGAGAGGATCAAAAATAAATTTAAATAATTGTTTGTTAACTACACTACTAAAATGTTACTTTAGACATATCTGATATATATATATATATATAAAAAGAGAGTGGAATGATAACACATAGCCAATCACAAAAGACTTCCGGTTAATAACGCGCAAAACAGCCAAACAAAATTGAGAACGCATGTGTGCGAAAAAGTAATAATTTTTAATAATGCTGTCTGCAGAAATGTTACAACTAAACTTACCAGCTGAATCTTGTTGCGATTTTTATTTTGTATTTAATGTGTGAAATATATCGAACAGTGTTTACTTTAAAATACTTATATCTTTTATGAAAAATGGATCGCCGTGAATATCTTAGGCGATATCAACAGCGGCATACTGCTGAACATAATTTAGCAGTACAAAATTACCGGGAAAATAATCGTAGTGCTATCAATACGCGACAGCAGAATGCACGGCGAAGAAACGTTGAAGAGTCAAGACGTTCAAATGAAAACGAATAATATGGAAAAGAAATTGATAAAAAATGTTGTATATAAGGAGGTTTTGTAAATAATTTTTAATTTCATCATTGATTTTCCTTACTTTTAATTGTTTTTTACTTACTTTCAAAAAATCGTTCAGTCAGAAATATTAATTAGCAGTTCATATTTTTTGAGATGTTTCTTAAATAATGCATAAAAGTGCAAATCATTGGTACACAAAATGATGTGAAAAGAAAAATCTATGAGAAATGTACATAGCTAGGTTTTGTGAATATTCAGAGATCTATTGCAAATAATTTTTTATTTTATTGTTTTCATCTTATTTTTTTATAACAATTCAGACAAAAATATTATTCTTTATATTGTAGTCATATGTTTTGGCAATCCATTAAACATTCAAAAATTATGAAACATGCTAGATAATTCATCGATTTTCATTAAAATGTGAGAAATCTGTGGCATATTGGAAATGTGACTAAACAATCAAATTTTATGAAAAGTTACAGCACGATCAGTATAACATTCAATTAAAATATGATAAGATGATCTATGATACTTTGAGACATATGCTGGAAAAGCAAAAGTGTTAGGCTGAATGTAAAGTTGAACAGCGCAAAAGCTAAAACGTGAATGGTATTGTTTAATCTATTTTAGTTATTTATTTTATTTTACTTTACAACGGCAATTCTAGCCACGAATCGAAGTAATAATATATTAATGTCATACTCAATAAAAATCTATGTGACGAAACCTTTTTTGTTTTATATATTGACAGTTCTATTTTCTTTTCTTTCATTTTTCTTTATTTTCATATTTTTTATCTATTCAATTTTTACTTTTACTTTGAAAGTAAATAAAATCGTAAAAGAAAGTAGATTAAAGTAAAATATAAAATGTTATAGGGGGAACTTGTATGATTTATTGTATAACCAACCAAATGGGATTTGCATTAAAATTGATCTAAAATCTTACCACACTTTTCTTTGCACTCCTTCATCGACTTGAAGCTGTTTTCATTGCCACTGCAACCATTCAATATGAATCGACGGCATAGATTTTGACTTTTATCGTATGCAAAACTTGGTGGTGGATTCTTGCATTGACTTATCTTGATTGGCAAATTACAGACATCATCATCTCCTCTTACTATGAACATCACCACATAAAATATAACTTTGTAAATGTCCGATAAAATGAAATAAATATTCTACTCTGTAAAAAGTTTCAGTGCATCTCAACATCAAAAATGATGGCAATTACTTTTACATAATGGCGCAGTGAAACATCGTACACCGTACACAATTACACACAAGAAGCACCGTACATAATTCTTGGTTCTTAGTGCAGTAAAACACCAATAATGTTCTTTTACATTATTTGATGTTAAGTAGTTGCCACCATGTTCGTTATACAGTAACAATAAAATTTATAATTACAGTAAAATCTATAATTATGATACACATAAGATTATGATACGNTTATTAAAATTATACAAGAGCTTTAATGCAAAACTTTGAAACCAACTTGCTTTATTTTCAATTTGATGAAAAAATTTACATAATTGTTGAACAGCTGTTGTCTGTATTTATCAACGTGAATATATCTTTTGATGGCTCATTGATTGTCATCAAAGCTATTATTTTTCTGAAAACAAAGAATAAAATTATAAAGCAGTGTTAAAAGAGTACAGAAAATTTATTTAAAAAAGGTCAAAATCCTCAGAACTTTTAAGGTGATAAATGAATTAATTTACATGTTAATCAATGCATTCAATGCTAACTAATTACTAGCCCTGTCTTTGGTGACCAGCTTGGTCACCTTTTAAAATTATATTGCTCAACACATAAGTTTTAATCGTAACCCAGCCAAAAGCACAGCACAACTGTATTTGAATATTCTAGCTTTTCAACCCCTCCTCTAATCTTTCATTTAATTATTCCAATCATTAGTGTCCTCCAATCCTTCTTTCAATCAATCATTTCAATTAGTTTTAAACATTATATTAAGCAAATTTCTTCACCGTCTACCAGTTGTCTGTGGCTTTGTCCGAACGAAACTATTTTGATTTTAACTATTTCGATTAGATGTCTGCGATATTATCAAAGCTCTTTATACACTGAATTTTAGTAATATCAAAATTTGTCCGGCAGCCATTAAATCTCTCGAACAACCGTAGGTATGAGTTCGTGACATTTTAGTATTTTAGGCTGAAGATAGAAAAGACATTTTATATAGAAAAATCATCCCAATGTTTCATTACATACTGTACTCCTTTCTCATCCACTTCTCTATTCATAACAATGAGCATTGTATAATATATATATATGATTAAAAAAAGCTATCTTTGTCACTAATGATTGGTATGACACCATCGCAATGTTTATGTTTCGAATTTTTACAGTCATTTTAGAGAGGATCAAAAATAAATTTAAATAATTGTTTGTTAACTAAGTTTTTATTTCTATAGAAGTACACAATTATTTTAAATAAATGCTTAACGGATAACTAACTATTTAACACTACTTAAAATATTACTTTAGACAACCTAGCTAAATGAATCTAAATAAATAGTAACGCATAATTAATTTTTTAACTCTACTTAAATTATTATTTAAGACAACCTAACAAGATGATCAATAATTATTGTGTTGCGAATAAATTATATCCGAGTTTATGGTGTCACATTAGAGAGTCATACATATATGTATGTAAATGCCTTGGTTACCATTAATAAAGTCCAGCAACACAATTAATGATTATGCTCATTCTTTAATAATAACATGAGTCACACAGACTCTTAAACAATTAAGATCGAACCACACAGGTTCTCAGTTTCACATAGAAACATATATCAATTAACTAATATCATAGTCACTTAGAGTCTTAACCACTAAGGTTACCAGTTTCACTTAGAAACAATATCAACTGACTAACTCTTCCTTTACATCGAGAAAGTTCCAATACATTCTTGTTCCGGCGAGCGACATCTGGCGGGATAACATAGAGGCTGTTGTCTCGCTTATTACATGTAGATAAACTTGAAACAAAAATTTAATTTTCGGAAACAAATTTTGATAATCAGTATTTTTCTTTTGAAAAAAATAATTTGGAAATCAGAATAGGTATTAGAAAAAAGAATAGTGAAGCTCAAAAATAAAATTTCAGTTACACGGCATCTGGTGAATTGAAACAACCCAGTAGATTGGTGCCACCTCTAAAATTCTTGCAGAGTGGGTTTTTTCTTTCTTTAAATTAATTAACGCACTCAAATAATGTTATGTTTTTCTTCTTTATCAAAGTTGATGAATATCTATTTCATGCAGAGCATTTGTGGATTTTTCTATTCATCTTTGTTGCATTTTAAAACTCAAGTATCCCAGTAGACAGGGAATCAGCGAAGTCATATTTTTTGGCAATCCGATAAACATTCAAAATTTATAAAACATGCAAGATAATTCAACAGTGTTCATCGATTTTCATTAAAATGTGTGAAATCTGTGGCTTACTGGAAATGTGATTAAACAATCGAATTTTAGGAAAAGTTACAGCATGACCAGTATAACATTCAATTAAAATATTAAAAGATGATCTATGATACTTTGAGACCTATGCTGGAAAATCAAAAGTGTTAGGTTGAATGTAAAGTTGAACAGCTCAAAAGCTAAAATATTTTAAACGTAAATGGTACTATGTAATCTATTTTAGTTTTTTATTTTATTTTACTTTACAACGGTAATTCTAGCCACGAATCAAAGTCATTAAATAATATAATAATGTCATACTCAATAAAAATCTATGTGACAAAACCTTTTTTGTTTTATATATCGACAGTTCTATTTTCTTTTCCTTCGTTTTTCTTTATTTACATATTTTTTATCTATTCAATATTTACTTTTACTTTTAAAGTAAATAAAATAGTGAAAGATAGCAGATTAAAGTAAAATATAAAATGTTCTAGGGGCAACTTGTATGATTTATTGTATAACCAACAAGATGGGATTTGCATTAAAATTGATCTAAAATCTTACCACACTTTTCTTTGCACTCCTTCATCGACTTGAAGCTGTTTTCATTGCCACTGCAACCATTCAATATGAATCGACGGCATAGATTTTGACTTTTATCATATGCAAAACTTGGTGGTGGATTCTTGCATTGACTTATCTTGATTGGCAAATTACAGACATCATCATCTCCTCTTACTATGAACATCACCACATAAAATATAACTTTGTAAATGTCCGATAAAATGAAATAAATATTCTACTCTGTAAAAAGTTTCAGTGCATCTCAACATCAAAAATGATGGCAATTACTTTTACATAATGGCGCAGTGAAACATCGTACACCGTACACAATTACACACAAGAAGCACCGTACATAATTCTTGGTTCTTAGTGCAGTAAAACACCAATAATGTTCTTTTACATTATTTGATGTTAAGTAGTTGCCACCATGTTCGTTATACAGTAACAATAAAATTTATAATTACAGTAAAATCTATAATTATGATACACATAAGCTTATGATACGCATAAGGTAGATTTACAATACAATATAAAGTAAGAATCATTACTTTAAGAAGCATACCTACATACTAATTCTTAAAATGAAATTAGTTTGTTAATCAAACATACACACAGTACAGAGACAGTATGATGAATTTACTGTGTTGAAAAAAACAGAAGTGAATAGAAATAAAATGTTATAAAATTATTTAATACTAGTGACAGATTTATGTAAATCTTCTTATGTGAACATAATCATATTTGCTATGAAAAACACATCTTCCTTTTATAATAGTTTACTTCTAATTCTGAGGAATGTGAGGCTTAAACAAATTTTCAACTTTACAACAAACTTTCAAAAACAAATTTTAAGGTTATTTTCTGACGATTTCCAAACGCATGCCAAAGTTAGCAAAAATAATTCATGATGGGAATAAATACACCAGACCCTATACCTCCTAGAAAAGAGAAGGTCTCAGCACAGGTTACCATAAATAAGAAATTTGATCCTTTAATAGTCCAAAGGTGAAGACATCTTGCAGATCACTACTACGAGCAGATCAGCACTACTTAGTCGTTATAGATCCTTACTACTTAGTCACTACGAGGCAGATCACGGCGCAGCTTCTAAGCTGCGCGGTGATCTGCGCGTAGTGACATCTTCCACTTAGGTCATTAAACCTCCACTGCGCAGTTTACGTCATTACATCGGAATACTAAATTGATCCGTGCTGAGGCCTTCTCTCTTCTAAGAGGCTCTTGTCTAACCTTGGAGTAAGCTATCTCAATAATTGATGTTTAAATTTAACCTCACCCTCTAAAGTGCGTATGAACCCTCGATTCGGTATTTTCTTAAAATAAAATATTCATTCACACAATTTTTGGAGCTTTTCAATCTCGAAAAATTTTGTTAAAAATAATTTAATAGTAAAAACGCTATAAAAAGCAAGCTGGTCTATAAGTTATTTTTTTTCAAGACTGTACCAATTAGTAGGTCAATTTAAAAACATTAGGAAGGGCCTCGGAAAATTTGGTAGACCTAATGCTCACTTTTGGTCATAATCGGTCCCTTTTTAAACCCGTGTATCATGTATTATTATGTATTAAGTCACGTGCTTATCCTAATTCAAGCCAATCTTTTTCAACATAATTAATTAGAATGAAGGCTTGTAAATATTTTTATTTGCCTTTTTTCAGTATCTTTCAATTTCGTTTTTCCTATTTATTAGGATAAAAGTCCACAATGAGATTATGAATCCAGAAAAAAATATTGTACGAACACTAAGAATGAACGACCATTATATTTAAGGATGGACGAGTGAGATAATGAATCCAGGGAAAGCATTGTACGATCACTTCAGAATATGATTTCATTTTAGTCGTCACTGTTTTGGTAGAATGTGTGGACATAGTTTTTAAAAAAATAATGTGAGGGTTCATGCTGTTTTTCAGTTTGCTATTTCAATATTGAGAAATAAATTTAAATATCATTTTAAGGTGCTCAAATAATTTCGTTTTGATTCATATTTCATTTTATACCACCAAAAAATCCCTCTCAAATATTTATGCAGGGTGTCAAAAAAGTATGGAAACGATTAAATGTCTAAAAATTACGTATTGGATCAAAAACTTAAAACTACACGTGGGAAATTTATTCAGCAGATGTATTTAATAATAATATATTCAACTTATGAATGCTCCTTTGAATATGAGCAACTTAAAAATTTGAAAAAGGTTGGAAAAATGAATTATTAATTTCCATTGTAGATTTGGATTATCCAGAAAGCTCCGAAATTTGATTTTCGGGTTTTTATTTCATGTTTCAGAGATAACACTATAATCACCAAATGAAAATGGAGTACAGATTGATTAATATGGAGACATTTCGAGAAATCCATGCCAGATCGAAAAAATAAAAATAGATGTGTTTTATATTTTGAGAAAATCGTATCTAATGATGTCAAATTCGTGGTTTCCAAGGATTGGGAATTTTGCAGTATATTAGTTTGGTGTATTATTACCCGATTCGAACGGAAACACTTCTTTTGACTTCATTTTTTTCGAAAACTTAAAAAATACATATACGAAAATTTAATGCGCTCATTATTGTACCCTCAGTAAAATATTTCAGCAAAATTTTTGAATTAAAGAACTTTTCACTGATTTCCAATCGCAAAATTGAAAGCGAAAGCTTATACGACCTTGAATTAACAAATGAATAATCAAATTATCTTAGTAGACTTTGAGAATTTACATGACGTGAATTTAGCAAATTTCAATAAATTATTATAATATCTAGTATACTTCAAGAATTTACATGACGTTAATTCAGCAAATTTCAATAAATAATCAAATTATCGAGTATACTTCAGGATTTTTGATATTTCTGAAAGTGAGCATATTAAAAAAACTTCCATTTATTTAATTTTTTAGGATTAATTTTCAAAAATTTTTTAAATCCATTAATTATGATTGTGTAAATTATAATTAAAATTTTTTTGCTTTACTCACCCCATGTTATAGCGCCTATTACACAAAAGAGAAAGAAGAGAAACTTCATGATAGTGACTTGGCTATATCTTAAATTGATTATTGAGTTTATGAAGTCGGATTTCATAAGAAAATATTTTATAAGGGAATTGATAGCTGAAAAAACTGCTTAACGATAAAACACATCTTTGCAAAAACCAGGCAATGGAAAAATTAATAAAAAAATTGCTTTTAGATTTTGATTTATTTGAACAGTTTTATAACTGGTCTATAAATACAGTTTATGAATGTATGTGAAAGAGTTTTTTATTTGAACCATAATAATCTAACTACGTCCTAATTTGGTTTGTTGAGGAAGTTTCAAAATAAAGTAGTTTCACACGTCTTTAACCCTTTGACGCAAAATTTTTACTAAACATGCTTTTCACACTTCTTTTATTATTTTATTTTATTTTATAACCGTCGTTGAACAGCCGAGCCAGTTTTTGAGTCTACGACTACTAATGTTCAACTCCGTAGCCTCGTAATTTTAAACACAATCCAGAAGACAAGGGAACTCCTGGATCAAATATTTATCTGAAATTTGCCTTCGTGGAGGACATTTTCAAGGAACTAACCCGCATTTGCGTTGCATGGAGAGGAAGACTTCGAGAACCACTCATGGTTAGCCTGACGGCAAAGGGACTCTAACCTATGATCCGTCTACCACTGAGGATATTTCACGTCAGCACAGCGGTCAGTGCAAGCTGGATGCGGATTCGTATCCATCGCTAGGGATTCGTGAATTAGTTAAGTCAAAATAGTGAAAAATATTGTATTAATATTTTAATAATTGATGATTATAAAATATAGCAATAAACACCCGTGTCTATTTCTGCTTTGAAGGTAAAATCTTCCAAACATGGATCACTTCTAAACAGTCATTTTTCGAATTTGAACTTATTTGCTGTTATTTAGATCTAAGAGAAATAGTCATTCCTCTTTGAAATTTCTTTCAACAAACAGTTATTGTTACAAACAGTAACAACAGTTACAAACAGTTTGAATAAACTGTTTGTAACAGTTTTCTTCAAAAACAGCTATTGATAAATTTTCGAATGTGAAATAATTTTTTTTTTCAAACTACGCTTTTTAGATTTTATATAGCCGACCGAACTGTGTAGGGGTTAGGGAACTGCCCTTGCATCAGAAAGGTTTTGGGTTCGAATCCCGGGCAAAGCATGGATGTTCTTTCCTTCTCTGTACTATCTGTCCTTACTGTGGGAGCAACGTTGGCCCACCTAATATGGTGCCCCTGAAAGAAAGGCCAGCAAATCTGCACTGTAAATGCCTGAATTGACACAGGTGGGCATTGGAAAAAAAAGATTTTATATTTTAGCACAAATGCAATTTCGATATTCTAACAGAATTTTTAGGCAACTATTTAACTGTTTTTTATGATCATAAAATACCAAAATATATTTTTGCTTGTAATTAGAGAGTTAGAAAAAAATATGAAAGGGGCTCCGGTATCCCATTTGCGTCAAAGTATTAAAGTGACACTTTAGTATGTTTACAAATAATTAGCTTTAAGTGTCCGAGACGTCAAAAAAGCCAACGTTGGCCTACTTTAGATATCACCAAAACTTTATTAACATCGAATAAGAGTTGACGAGAGTTTGTTGTTGTCATCAATGCTACTATATTTTTAACTCTTTCGGAATTGATAATATTTCTAACAATTAAAACTCTTTGTCTTATACAAAACAGTTTTTTAGAGAATAAACACTTTATTCACTGTTTGAATATACTTGCAACACTTTAGAGCCAGTTTCTTGACTGTATCGCAGAATGTTTTGTAACTACCGTACTTAATATATATATTTTCAGAAAATTTGCCTAAAATAAAGATACAAATTATGCACATTAGATAGATTTCTCAAGTTGAATACTAANAAAATGGATGCAATCAAGTTGATATTTGCAGGGAATATAAACTATCCAAATCTGCAGTTTGTAACATATGGAAAAATAGGTAATTAATAATTTCTGCCCATGAACAAAATTTGGATAGCAGAAAAACGTTGAGAAAAGCAGATCACAAGGATGTTAAAGAAGCATTACTGAAGTGGTTCACCATTTGAAGAAGCCAATATTCCAATATCTGGACAAATGTCGATGAATTTGCTAAGCGATTTTATGAAACTATTTTTATGTTCTCGAATGGCTGGTTAGACAGCTTTAAAAAGCGGAATAATATAAATTCAGGAAAAATTATTTGAGAGTCAGGAAGTATTTCCATATCCGATGTTGAGGATTGCTCATCAGCTAAATATTACTAACTTTTGTTTTTGCTCGCAAGACGAAGAGTAATGAAAAATAACTAATTTTTTGCTACTACATAATATTTTTCAGTCATTTATTTGAATAATGTGCAATAAAAGGGAGGAGTTAGGGAACCATTGGTTAAATTGCCTGCTTAACGGATATAGTGAACTCCCGGTTATAGTGAACCAAAATTTCAGGCCCCTGAAGGTTCACTATAGCGGGGTTTGACCGGAATTGATAATATTTCTAACAATTAAAACTCTTTGTCTTATACAAAACATTTTTTTAGAGAATAAACACTTTATTCACTGTTTGAGTATACTTGCAACACTTTAGAGCCAGTTTCTTGACTGTATCGCAGAATGTTTTGTAACTACCGTACTTAATATATATATTTTCAGAAAATTTGCCTAAAATAAAGATACAAATTATGCACATTAGATAGATTTCTCAAGTTGAATACTAAGTTTCTCATTTCGGTTTTCACTCATCCCACTCGAATGGTTTGTCGTAGGATGTTCTTATGTCAACAGTGACCTTACTCGTGCTTGGAAGCATTTGTATGACAAATTTTATTAATTTTTATGTATTAATTTGTTTTTATGTATTTAGACGACTATATTTTTGTGAGTATTTCATATGTCTGATATCTGAAAATATAACGACATTATTAGTTTTTAAGTTGAGCTTAGTAAGGAAGAAGTAGCAATGCACAATAGCCTCCCCCCCTGAAAAAAGATGAAAAGCTTTAATAAATTTTTGATTTAATGATCAGATTCAATCATTATTAATATCCCATATTACCGTATGTTTACAACACATATTACTATACATACATATTACGGTAATATTGTCATACATACATATTACCGTATGTATGTATGAAGAATCTCCTTTCTTCATCGAGCAAAATTTTGCTTCAACTCTTTCTAGTGTATGTGTAAATTGACCTTTAAGAAAACATGGTTGGGAAGTCAGGGAGTGAGGTACGGATATCATGTCCTTCCGACATTTGCTTTGTGATGAGTATAATGCACCTAGGAATCATCACTGATGTTGAATCCCGGATTGTCGGCATTTACTCATTAGTGTAGATGGAGCATTAACAATTAAATGTAATTAAAATAAGTTAAAATAAATAAAACCAAATTGTGTTTCAATATTTATTTCTGGCTTTTAAGACTGAAGCTGTATTGAATGAACAAAGTTTTTAATTTGAATAAATGTGATTCAATATTTAAGTTACTTTTCAAAATTTCAATTGAAAGGCGAAACTAATAAAACATATGTTTCAAAATTTCCAACAATATATTGATTCAATATTGAATTTCAGAAGATGAAGATTCCTTAAAGTTTTCATGCATTGCGAGCAAAGTATTTTAAAAGTTTTTGAGTTAATCTGTGCAAAAAGAATACACATTATGCGGTCTACTCGATTTCATAAACGCGAGTTAATAAAATGGCGAAATCTGAAGATGACGTAATTGCGTCTAGACCTACAAAGACGAAAAGGTTTCCAAACTTATATCTTAACCTCCGCTAGAAAGTTAAGATAAATATTTATTCAATTTTTGCTGCATTGAAAAATATTTTACTTAAATACAAAGTATAGTAAATTACAAAGAGGGTGTGCTCTCACAATCTCCGGACAATTATTTTAAAATCGTTTTCATTGTGTTAAACTACGTAGAGTGATTATTAGTTTGAAAAATAATCGAAACGTGTCTCTGAGTTTCCAGGAACTAACGAAAGTAGAAATCTGGATGTAAATAATAGGAATCATATTTTAAAATGATGAAATAAATGATAAGGAATGGCTATCTGAAATGCAATGTAAGACTTTTTTTAACATGGCAAAAAACAAGTACAGTGCATTAAATTAAAAACAAAAACCGAACAATCTAAATAACTTATAAACAATGCAGACAATTTCTTAAAATAGAAATTAGGCACAAAAGTATGCTCTCTTAATAAACTTGTCCTTACTAACGGAAGTAGAAATGTGTATCTATATAATAGAAATAGTATTACAAAATGATCAGATCTATCATAAGCAATAGTTAAAAATCTAGAATGTAATGTAAAACAATTTAAAGGTGGCAAAAAACGATTACGTCACACAATATAAGGAAAAAAAAACTGAGCATTCTAAATAATTTGTGATTTAATGATCGGATTTCAGGGTATTAGGATGTTATTTTAATGACATGAAATGTGAATGTCATATACGCTAAGTAATTAATGTAGAAAAGTTTTTAAAATAAGAAATTAGACTCAAAAAGTACGTTCTCTGAATAAACTTTCCCTTAGAAACGGAAGTAGAATTGCTGGTGTATATAATATAAATCGTATTATAAAATGATAAGATAAATTATAAGGAATAGTTAGAAATCTAAAATGTTATGTAAAGTTCTCTTTTTAGTGTGGTACAAAACAAGTACAGTGCCCAAAATTTGAAAAAAAACTGAACATCCTAAAAAACTTGTGATTGGATTTTTGGGTGTTATGTTGCTATCTTAATGATTTAAAATGTAGAGCTCATATAAGGTTTACAATAATTCAGAATAGTGTGTAAAAGAAGAAAGTAAGCTCAAAAACGTACGTCCTCTGAAAAAAAACTTACCTCTTTCTTTTACGAAATCAGATTTTTGACCTTTACATTAAGAGGGTAGTTAAACTTAGAATATATGTTTCCAATAGTTAGTCATCGTTTTCATCTTTTAGTCAATTGAATAATATTTGTCGTTAGTTTGAGAATCTTTATTTTAATTTTATAGAATCCAATTGAAGTTTTAAATTAAATACGATTCTCTACAAAATGAA